ACCCCTATAGTAGTACCAAAAGGTACGTTGAAAGGGAAAAGATAAGTCCATCAAAGCCAAAATTAATGGGTTATACATATAGAAACAACGTCAGTCTATTATACAAGAATAGCTTTCTTTAGAGGGATGGCGTCAATGAAATAAGTTTATTATTTTGTTTATTTACTTATATTTCATATTTCTACAGGTGTGATATCTGCGGCTCGTGCTTTAATCAAGCGACCCATTTGAAAAACCATGCAAAGGTGCATTCAGGCGAGAAGCCTTTTAAATGTGATATTTGTTCAGTAGGATTCTCAGATAGGTAAGTTCAATGTTGGTATAAATAATTTACATATATATTTCTATAAGACTTGTTTTATTGGAAAACTTTTTTCAAAGTGTAATTCCGTCATGTGCTCACGTTAATGAGTAAACTTCCTTTAAATTTATTTTTCTCTTAAAGTTTTTCTGTGTATGTTATGGTAGGATGAAAAGTATAGACATTAATTGTGTATGTCAATTTGACGTTAATTTTGTTTGAATTAAACTCAAGACCGTGTATGAAAATATTAGCTATTCTGTAAAAAGAAGATACAGAATATATCTGCAGTATTGATTTACAACGAAGAATTCAACTATATGCACCGAGCTAGAGGAGCTAGAAAAGTTTTACTCGGATATAATAGTGTGACCGACAAAAAAAAATAGTAGAGATATTAAAATACTAATGGGAGATACAACGATAGAGCGGACCGATTTGTAGAATTCTGTAAAGAAGTGCATCTGTATGAATACCTTTTTTAAAATTCCGAAAAGAAGACTTTACTCTTGCAAAAATTTTGGCAGATTGTCCTAAAAATCAGGAGAAATCACTATTAATGAGCGTTTTCGAAACTCGGTAGTCAAAACATATCCAGGAGCTGATTTTCCTTCGGATCATATCTTCTTAGTCGGTGATTTGAAACTAAAACTCAAGAAACGTATAAAGCATCAACCCAATAGCAGGTTCTACGTTGACTCTCTAAGTTACTTTTATCATCCACTTGTTATTATTTTGGAGAATAAATTTGAAGAAGACCGAGGGTTTCACAATATTAAAGATCGTTAGCTTCATTTTAGAACTGTAATAAACAAAACTACTTTAGACTTACCTAAAATCAAATATAAGAAACAACAAGGGACGGACGATGTGTATTAAACCTTATGGAAAAAAGAAGCAAGTTTAAAAACCGAGATCTTCAAAAATACAGCCACCAACCCCCAAAAATACAGCGACAAACAGAAAGAAATAAGAAGAAAAATGCGAACAGCAAAAGAAGTGCCATTTGAAGAGAAATGTTTGGAAATTGAAGATCTGCAAAAGAAGTATGATATATTCAACTTACACAAAAATATAAAAGTGGCAGCTGATATACAAAATAAAAGATCATACAACCTTGTTGATAAAGAAGGTAACCTTATGAATGATATAATTAACTAAAAATATGAGAAAAGTGCATTAAAGCGATGAACGACAAGTAAAAGAAATACTAAATTGTATTGCAGGTCCCACAATAACAATGGAAGAATTAAAAAATGCAATAAAAATATATGCGATATTTATAGAACAAAAGAAGAAATGCTAAGTGCTCTGACTATAGGAAAATCAGTCTTTTGAGTCACGTTTTAAGAATCTCCTCGGATAATTCACTCCAGAATTTATTCTAGAATTGGTAAATGATGCACCTGTACAAAAAGGGTGTACATATGTAATATGAGTATAATTTCAGTGTATGTGGACTGTGTTACATAGGGCTGGTTTAAATAAATTAGGATATGTAGTAAAGGGTTATACAGACAATAGCAAATTAAGTTTATACAAAATCTTACCAATATTTTCGCTCCACACACTCGCGGTTATTCTTCACATGCGGAATCTGTCCGGGCACTGGTTTCTGAACACGTGTTACGCGGTACTAACACTGAGATCACGAGATAGAGCACACTTTGCGTCTGTACACGATTTAAAATAGTATTTGCGGTATTTTTCGCGTAACTAAAAGCGGGAGAGAGATAATTAGTTAGCGGCTGTCAACTGTGGAGAGTGTCTCTTTAGCGATAGATAACAGCGACTGTTTTCCTCGATAAGCAAAAGGGTAAGATAGAGAGGGAGAGTGGACTGTCCTCAACGACAGTCAACAGACAAGAGAGAACGACTGTCCTTAGCGGCAGTCAACAATCAAGAGAGAGTATTTCTTCTTCGCTATCGTACAACTGTCTGTATTTGTAATGGAGTGGGGTTAAAATGTGAGTAGGAAGGGTTGAAGGGTGGGAAATAATTGTTAAATTGTGGTAGAATGGTAGTTAGTAATAAAGCGAAAGAATGACATGATTTTTGCATGTGAAAAAATTGAACAACACCATTTGGTTTCAGTAAGTATCTTGGAATAAGAGAGGTACTATTTAGTGTGCAAGTACTGGTTCAGAGGTGTAGATATGTCAATCATCCTGTGTATGTGTGCTTTATAAATTTTGGGAAAGCATTCTTAGGCGACAAAGACAAAAAATTATACAACATCTATATTAAGGATGTTTCAAAACTTCATGAACCTTTGAAATACGCATGTTTGAAGACTAAATTCAATTTAAAAATAAATAATAAATAAAAAATATTCCACTATTTTACTATTGCAAAAAGTAGTTTGGCTCTGTCTTGCTATGAAAACGTAGTGCAGATAATTAAATGTTTTCAGTAATGTCGGATTTCATAGTTTTGTGTGTAGATTGACGTTACCAAATGAGTGAGTCAGGTTCATGAAATTTTATAAGACCAATATAACCAACAAACAACTGTCAGCATTGGCCTAGATACTTCTGAATTAATTGAAATTCTCCGTGGGTTCATATAGGGATGCATCTTACCATGACTAATGTTTAATCTGTACTGTGAGCATATTCTCAAAGAGCCACTGCTAGGATTGATGTTGGTATCACGGTCAATGGAATTAAGATCGGTGATCTTAGACATGCAGCTGATACGTGTTGCTTGCGAGTTCTGCGGAAGAACTAGTTATTAATTGACAGTGTTACTGGAGAATGCGAAAAATACTGCTTAAAACTTAATACTTTAAAAACTAAATATATTGTAGTCAGTCAAATACCGGTAGATCACTACATAATTACTGAATAGTCCTTATGGTAGTGAAATAGAAAAAATCGAGAACATCACTTATCTCTGTCCGAATACAAATTCCAACTGAAATATGAGCAAAGAGATAAAAATCCGCATTGAAAAGACCAGAGCAGTGTTCTTCCGAATGAAAAAAAATACTGTGGGGATTTAGTATTAATAATTAACCTGAAAATAAGACGTCAGGGAGACCCACTCTACTGTATACTATTCAATCTAGCTCTGGAAAAAGTAATACGTACATCACAAATCACAACTACCGGTTCAGTATATAACAAATCTGTGCAAATCTTAGCATATGCTGATATCAATATTTTTGGGAGAACGGAAAACGCAGCACGAGAGGCGTACGTAGCACTAAAGGAAGCGGCTACAAAAATGGGTTTAATAATAAACACCAATAAAACGAAATACATGAAAATAGGTACGCAACCACAAATACTACGGCCACTTGTTATAGGAAACGACGTCATCGAAGCAGTTAACGAATTTGTATACCTTGGAACGCTCGTCAATACTGAAAATGACACTACTGTAGAGATCAACCGCAGAATTTGCACGGCTAATAGATGCTAATAGAAGACAAAAACGATGGTCATCAGCAAGCACCAAAACAGAAGGCTGAAGGTCAATGTCGACGTAACAGATCTGGAAAGAGTAACAAGAACAACGTACCTTGGAAGTAATCTTGATGAAACTTGGGACCACTCACTAGAGATAAGAATACGCCTGGAAAAGGCACGTACAATGTTCTACAAAATGCAAAAAGTTCTATGCAACCGCCAGCTGGGCATCTCATTGAGAACTAGAATACTTAAGTGCTATGTTTTCTCCACCTTGCTCTATGGTGTTGAAGCCTGGACAATGACAGAAGCAACACAAAAAAGAATCCAAGCATTCGAACTTTGGTGTTACCGTAAAATGCTCAGAATATCCTACATGAGCCATACGACAAATGCGAAAGTCTTGCGGAGGATGAATAAGGAAAGAGAGCTTATGCTTATAATAAAAGAACGGAAAACACAATATTTTGGTCACATCATAAGAAATCAAAAGTATGAACTGCTCCAACTTATAATCGAAGGCAAAGTCAATAGCAAAAGAGGACCAGAAAGAAGACGCAACTCTTGGCTTAAAAATCTACGGCAATGGAGGAACATGGCCTCCATAGAACTATTCAGGGCTGCTACAAATAAGATTAAATCTGCAAATGTAAGGGCCAACGTCTAGTAAAGGAAGACCCAGAACAAGATTCCTAGACAACATAGACCAAGATATGAGAAATATAGAAATACGTGCTTGGCGGAGGAAGACAATGGATAGGGACGACTGGAAAAAAATTCTTGGTGAGGCTAGGACCCATACAGGGTTGTAAAGCCAAAATGATGATGATGCAAATAAGACTCGTCAACTGTCACATCTTCTCGACATTATTGTATGGATGTGAAAGCTGGAGGAGCACTAAATTGCTATTAAATAAACTTTAACGTTTGGAACTGTGGCTCTATCGAAGGCTGTTACGCATAAGCTGAGTTTACAGAGTGACAAATGAAGGCATATTAAAATGTTGAAAAAAACGACCCGAAGTATAATAGTGAAAATGTGTGGAAGGAGAGGTCCCGGTCAAAGAAGAAAATCATGGCTTCGTAACCTACGTCAGTGATTTAATCAGTCTTCGTCGTCTCTCTTCAGAGCTGCGGTGCATAAAGTTATGCTAATCGATAAGATAACCAACGTTTAGTAATGTACACAGTATGGGAAGAAAAGAGATGGATTTAAAAAATATATTTTAATATTTTAGCATTAATGTTACACTCACTATATATTTTTTTAATTGCGTATTTTGTAGGTTTGCATTGAAGAGGCACAGAAACATCCACGAAAAATACGGTAGGACTAAACCACAGATATCTTCGAGTGCTGACGATGCTCAGCAGAATAACACATCTTCCGATTCCCTGACTTCCTCTGCGAATATGGCTTCTGTGGCACAAGACGCCGACCATGAAGAAATCGTAGAAACCAAATATGAACAAAAATACGAAACCGTCGACGGTAGTGATATGGAGGAAGATATGACGGACATAACCGAGCTGCAGGTCACACTGCACTAATATACACGTGATGTTTAAAATGCATAATCAAAATGTCTGATTTATTTTTAATCAGGAGAAGAATGGTTCGATAATTTCGTTAACTGTGGCTTACACTTGTTGCACTAAAATACTTTCTAATCACTTTATACTTTACTAGGTTTTGTACAACCTATTTTTATAAGCTGAATATTAATTTCATCGTTACATATCTGATTGTTTCTATTTTCAATTAAAATTTAGCTATATAAGCCTAAAGATTTTGAGACTATCTTAGTACAGTATCATAAAGCATCCCATCATAATACTTCTAGTTAATTTTTTAAGATCCAATCTGATAATTTCGTCTTTTATGCTAAAGTACGTATTTGTGAAGATAGGGTCAAATTGAGTGGTGAGTAATTCTAAGAAATAGTTTATAGCAGAGATAATAGGACAACTATGGTAAGTGACATTCCAAAAAAATGATAAAATTGAAATCATTAAAAGTAAGAGGACCCAATTTATTAAACAATAATATAGTAAACACAAACATTATTTTATTTTTAAAAGCGTAATTAGCAATGAAAAAAATGGTGGATTAAAAATTAGCAATATTGATATGTATTAAACGATATATATTGGTTAGAATTGACTATCAAGTAACTTCTTCGATGTGTTTTTCTAGAGATTGTCGGAATCTGACGTCGAAGGACTATGGAAAAAGGGTAGATACGATATGATTCACATTTCTTTTGTGTACAATTACAGAAATACCGAACGGAACATACGATGTGATTTATTCTTTCTTTGAATACATTTATTAACCGAGAACATATTTACACCCATTTCATTTAGCCTGGTTTTTATGTGGTAAATATAAAATTTAAAAGTTTTTTTTTTCTGTGCCGCCAATTCATTTTTTAAAATGGCCCATATCTTTTCAATCGCGTTAGATATGTGATAGAAAAAACCACAGAATATAATGTACCTCTACACATAGCATTTATTGACTTTCACAAGGCCTTCGATAGTATTGAAACTTGGTCCTTTTTGTCAACCCTAAGGGATGCTTGAATAGACTCACGGTACAATACACTTATTAAAAACATTTATGAACAGGCCACATTCCACATCAAAATCAATGAAGACAAAAAACTAAAAAATGCGTCTTGGTAAAGGTATTATACAAGGTGATACTATTTCACCAAAGCTTTTTACCTTAGTATTGGAAAATGTATTCAAACTGCTCAACTGGGAGCAAAAAGGTCTAAACATTGATGGTGTACTTTTGAGTCGTTTGAGGTTTGCGGAAGACATAGGATTATTTAGTACAGATATCAAGGAACTGGAGCAAATGCTCAAGGAATTACATCAACAGGCAAATAAAATAGGTCTTAAAATGAACCTTCAGAAAACAAAAATAATGAGTAATTTACAAACTAATATTGTCATTGACAACGTCAGTCTTGAAAATGTAGACCAATATATATATATATATATATATATATATATATATATATATATATATATATATATATATATATATATTTTAAAATTCTTATTTTGAGTTATAATGAAAAAAATTTTGTTTGTTCTTTTCTTTTTTTTTAGAAAATCTTAAATAAAAAACTTTTCTTTTTTTACAAAAAATTTATTGAAATTAACAATATAACATCATAAATTTAAACATCTAAACAAACAACTGATCTAAACAAACTAATATTTTAAATTAATGACGAAATTAAAATTTTTAAAGTTGAAGAAAATACTAGTACCGTGTACTAGTATCGAGTATTGCCTCCTCTGGGATTTATTACCGCTTGACAACGATCTCTCATACTGAAAATAATCGTTCTGATTTCTTTTTGATCAAGTTGATCCCAAATTTCAACCAATCGCAAAAACAGTTCATCTAATGTGTTTGGTGCATTAGGTAGTTGTCGTGGTTGTCTGCCTATGATGTACCAAACATGTTCTATTGGGTTGAGGTCAGGATTTCTCACAGGCCAATCACTGGCAGGAATTCCAACCTCCTGAAGATACTGCTGCACAATGATTGCCGTGTGTGGTCTGGCATTATCTTGCATAAGCATGAAATTATCCCCAAGAAATGGTGTAAATGCCACGACATCCTCTTATAAAATGTCTGCTCTGCGATGTAATCCGACCGCGATATATTCTAATTCCATACAAGTCTCTAAATGAATCACACCCCACACCATTACCGAGCCGCCGCCATACTGTACAGTCCCTACGGTGCGTTACACTGTGCGTAACGTTCCCCAGGCCTTTTATACACTCGGTTTCTCCTGTCATCAGAAAAAAACAGTACCTGGATTCATCTCTGAACAATACTCTTCCCCAATTGTCATTATTCCAATCAACATGTTCACGAGCCAAATGCAATCTTTGCCTTCTATGGTCTCTGGTCAATAATGGTGCCCTTCCAGGGTGTAGGTTGTCTTCGGCAAGTCTTCTTCTAATTGTATTTTGGCTGATTCTAAAGTTATAACGATCCAAAATTTCACTTTGTAGAGAAGTACTGGTAACAAACCTTGGTCTCAGTGTACGAAGTGTCAAAAACCGGTCTTGATTAGGAGTTGTAACCCTTCTATGGCTTTGACCGGCTCTTCATGAGTTACTTCCAGTAACAGAAAAATGTCTTAACACTCTTAAAATGGTTGACTGGGTGACGTTAAAACGTTCAGCGAATTCTACTTGAGTGTATCCTTTTTCGCGAAGAGTAACGATTCTAAAACAGTCACTTTCTGACAAATTTCGATTTTCTTGCTGCTGGTGGTTCATTTCAAAGAAAAAACATTTAATAACCTTGAAAACCCATTTAAACGTTCAGCACAACGTAATCCAACCCAACTAAATTCGAAATAAAATGAAGCACAATTGGCATGTTTTTAATTTTTTTGCAAAAAATGGTAAAAACAGCGTTTTTTACCGTTCTTTCTTTTTATACCAGTGTTTTTAAAATTATGCGTTAATTTTGGGGTGCAGTGTATATATATCTTGGAAATACCATTAAAATCGGCAAAGAAAACCAAATATATACCAATGTGTCTAAAACGTAGAGTTTATGACAAATGTATCTTGCCTGTAACTACATATGGACTGGAGACCATGGCCTTTACAAAGAAAACGTTAGAACAGCTGAATGCAACCCAAAGAGCGATGTAGAGGGCCATGCTAGGGATTATTTTGAGAGACAGGATTCGAAATATCGACATTCGTGAAAGAACAAAGATTACTTATGTCGCAGAACGTATAGTAAGACTTAAGTGGCAATGGGTCGAACATTTTGCCCGAGACAATCCCGAAAAATGGACACAGAGAATGGACCAAGAGAGAATAGGCGAGGAGTAGGCAGACCACAGAAGAGGTGAGCAGATGATATCAAACAAGTCGCGAGCAAGCAGTGGATGAGAATTGCCAAGAGTAGAAATCAATGGAAGCAAATGGAAGAGGCCTATGTCCAGCAGTGGACGAATACAGGCTGAAAAAGATGGTGTCAAACCTAAAACCAAGTGGCTGTACTCTGGTAGTACATAATTGGTTTGAAGTATAAACAGAGTTTTTAGGTTTAGCACAGATTATATTATTGTACAGCTCCGTTTTTTCATTTTTCTCGAAAAATATATTCATTTCTGTCAACCATTTTCTCATGACGTCTTTTTTTCGAAGCTGATCTAGGACAATTTTCAACAATCACATTATGATACCACCGCAGTGTAAAATAATCAGTCGTTGACCTTTTAGGTACAGATTTTAAACACATGTTTCTTAATTCCAACATTTTTGAAAACTGTGTTGGACCTTGAAATTCCTTGATAACTAAGTAAAAAATGAATATTTTTAAGTTTATCAATCATCAAATCATACCTAAAACTTCATTTTATAAGATCCCGAAGAATTTTTAACAATATCTTTACAACAACTCAATGTTTTTTATTTGTTAATTTCGCGCCGCGCAGAGAGAGCGCTAAATATATTTATGAAGTTATTATTATTTATAATATATATATATATATATATATATATATATATATATATATATATATATATATATATATATATATATATATATATATAATATATATATATATATATATATGATTTTTTGTTCTAATAACTTGTTGCTAATATCTTGTTGGTAAGGCTAAAAAACTGATTTGTTCAAATTTAATAAGAGTATATGGAAACATTGTTTTTAACTTAAAATTTAATAATGTTTATAAATAACATTTATTTAATATAAATTTATTTTAAATAAATAAACAAAAAAAATCTCAATAAAACGGCGACTTAAGAAAATATTTGTACACCCCGTAGTCATTAGCTGTTTAGTTTTGGATAATTCTGTGTTCCATTTTTTGAACGGCCCTTCAGTCGGCTACCCTCACTCCCTTTATTCTAGTCGGAATGTAAAGTATTCTTTGTATACAACACTCATGTTTAAACAATTTTTAATAATTTTGTTTGTTAAAAGTTTTGTTAAAAACTTTTACTTTTCTTATAAAAAAGATTGGTTAATTTCAGTCCTTAATGTTGTTTATTAATGCAACAGTGATTAAAAAAAGAGGCTATCTTGGGTCCTGTGGACCGTAGGACTTTTTTTGTTTTTTAAAAGTGGTGTTTTTTACCCAGCTTTCAGAAGATTTCTTTCGCATTTAATTTGAATTAAATTCTCCGGATTTATTATTATACCACTTAGTGTACATCAATGTATTTTTTTAAACTTTTAGTATATATCTCTTAAAAAAGTATTTAATAAACCCCGGATTATTGAGATTCATTTAGTCAAATTATCTGGACCAGTCTTAGAAATTAGCTCATTTTCAAAATTCTTACAAACAAATTAAATTTCGCAAAAATTATTCAACCTATCTGACCAATCTTTTTCACACAGTTCAAACAAGATAAGACCCTCAAGTTCCAGGTACATTTAAACAAAGTGTAATAAATAATAAAAAAGACTTCTTAACAATATTCAAAAACAGCGATTTTGTTGTTCATTTTGCAATAACTTT